CATGTATATATATATAAATATACAGACAAATACATTTTCTGTTTAGATTTTTTTTTTCAAGGAGTGAATCTCATGAAAGGAATTTAAAAGCCAATAGGATCAAGATTTTTCATGACAAGCACATTTGACCTGGTAATTCTAATTAATGCAATGCAAAAAAAAAGAAAGATTATTTCAACTGCAATATTATTTGATGTATGGTCTTTAATGTAGGCTTATTTTATTTTTTTAAATTCACTGTATTAAAGTAATGAGAATCTAATGAGAATAAAAAATTTAAAAAAAAGCAATTTAGGGTTAAAATGTGTTTAAAATCTTAATGCAAAATATAATTATACATATTTTGTGTGTGTGTGTGTAACACACAGTCTCTTGAGATTCACCCCAAGAGACTGTGTGTTAAAAGAAACAAACATCCATCATCACAGGGAGTGTGCTTGTGTGTATTTTTGGAGTCTTAATGTGCAGTTTGTGAGAATAAAGTTCTTCTGTAAGTGTGATTGTGAAACGATGGTGTCTAAAATAGCGTGTTTACAATATCATGTTACAGTTACTTACAAGTAAAGCATATAAACACATTTTTTCTAATTGCACTTCTGAGTGGAGTTATGGGTTTCCTGTTTTCCACAAACCGTCCTCACCACACATCCTTCCATAAATCTTCCGCTCTCTCTCTATCCTTCCCGTAAAAGCTTGGCGTCCATAATGGGGAGGAACAGATACGTGAACACGACTTCAAACTGGCAGCAGTGAAACAGGATCATGTCCATTTTTAACATCATATTCAGAGCCTGAAGCGTTTAACATCTCCGGCGCTGTGCAAAACACACGGCTTCCTGCTTCTGGGACTCATTAAAAACAGAAAGAAAAAAAAAACTGCGCCCAATCAGATCAGGGGGCGTGGCTTCAGAAGAATGCCATTGATGCGAAGTGAGGTCGCCCGCAGTCAGCGCCCAATCAGATTAGAGGGGCGTGGCTTCAGGAGACTTTATCATTAACGCTATAGTGTGGTCGTCCGCAGTCAGCGCCCAATCAGATCAGAGGGAGTGGCATCAGAAGAATTGATCATTAATGCTATAGTGAGGTCGTCAGCTCCCAGTCAGATCATTGGGCGTGGCTTGAGAAGAATTTATCATCGATGCGAAAGTGAGTTCATGTAACATCATCTGCAGTCAGCGCCCAATCAGATTGTGGGCGTGGCTTCAGAAGAATGTCACCAATACAAATGTCAGGTCATCTGCAGCCAACACCCAATCAGATCAGAGGGCATGGCTTCGGAAGAATTTGTCATCAATGCGAAAGTGAGGTCTTCTGCAGTCAGCACCCAATCAGATTAGGGGGCGTGGCATCAGAAGAATTGATCATTAATGCTATAGTGAGGTCATCAGCTCCCAATCAGATTAATGGGCGTGGCTTCAGAAGAGTTTATCATCAATGCGAAAGTGAGGACATCATCTGCAGTCAGCGCCCAATCAGATCGGGGGCGTGGCTTCAGAAGAATGTCATCAATGCAAAAGGGAGCTCGTCAGATCAGGAAAAAAATTGATCAATGCAAAAGTAAGGTTGCATGGGGTCGTCTGCAGCCAGTATCCAATCAGATCAGTAGGCGTGGCTTCAGAAAAATTTATCATGTATGCGAAAGTGAGCTCATCCCCAGTCAGCGCCCAATCAGATCAGGAGGCATGACTTCAGAAGAATTTGTCATCAATGCAAATGTAAGGTCATCTGCAGCCAGCGCCCAATCAGATCAGAGGGCGTGGCTTCAAAATAATTTGTCATCGATTCAAAAATGAGGTTGGATGATGTTGTTTGCAGCCAGCGCCTAATCAGATTAGTGGGCGTGGCTTTAGAAAAATGTATCATTGATGCGAAAGTGAGCTTGTTCCCAGTCAACGGCCAGTCTGATCAATAAGCGTGGCTTTAAAAGAATTTGTCATCAATGCGAAAGTGAGGTCGTGTGACATCGTCTGGGTTGATGAAGACTGAGATGGACTTCCCAGGATTCTCCGTGACCAGCTGCTGGAGTTTCTTCGCGAGCCGGTCGTCTGGTTGCTGATCGGCTCCGGTGTCCGACAGAGGGGATGACAGGTTTGAGCTTCCTCCGCGCCACTGGAGCTCAAGCGTGAGCCGCGACGCGGCTTTTGCATGCTCGATCGCGCTCCGCAAGTGTTCTGCTGGGTCAGAGCGAACTGATGACAACTTGCGAGCATGCAGCATGGCCATGTCGTCGCTGAGATGCTCTAGCATGTTGCATTGCGGGATAAAGTAATTCGGGCAGGTCTTATTCACCAAGCAGTGCTGCAAGTCATCAATCAACCCAAGCAAAAAGTGCGCGGCGTAATCTTCCTGTGCCAAGTACGTATGCGGCAGGCGGTCGCAGGCCCAAAGCATGAGCGAGCGCAGGTGATACGGGCTGATGGCTTTGGGTCGTGAGAGAAGCTTAATAATCAGAGCTTTACAAGCCTGGTACGCCTGCATGAGACTCGCAGAGATGCACTTCTTCAGCTGCACCTCGCTGCGCGCAAACGACAAGCGCCACTCGTTTTCCTTCTGGCCTGTAGAAGAGCAAGCAGGCAGCAAATAAAACCCGCTAATCACTTCCTCCTCCGTGATTTTCCCATCCCAAAAATGGTTCTCCATTAGCCAGCTTTGGGCCACCGCTGGCCAGCCTTTGAACGACACTACTGGAACCACGTCGTACAGCATCCGACTGCCTCCGACGCCCAAAATGATGGAGATGACGGTTGCGTTGCGCTCGACCTTCTCGACCCGCGGGACACCGCGCTGCGGCTTCTTCTGAATCTCCGCCAGAACCATACTAATGGATTCGTAGAACCAGTCGGCCACCAGCGTGGGTGAGAAAAAGTAATTGGTGGCACCGTTAACATGGTCTACAACAGTGCAACAGTCCTTCCACTTGTTGATGGTTCCCTCGTCAAACAGACGCAGGCTGAGCCAGGAGTGGCAGAGCGCCGAGTGACGCATGTCTAGCGTGACCGGCTGGTTTCGGTCGTGGAGTTTGAGCGCGGGAACCAGTAACGTGAAGTCCATGTCGTAATCAGCTCCCCGCGCATATACCGTCAACTCATCCAGATCCATGTCAATCACGCCTTCCCGGACCCCACCGGACAACAGCAGGTACTCGTTGGCAACCGGAAGCTTCTGGTCCAACTTCTGCACCATGCCTGAAAACAGGAAATTACATCATTAAAGAAGGACAAATTTTGTGTACTTCTACAAAGTAGATAAAACAGACTATCCCTGCTATCCATTCGGAAGGGCTCATCCCAATGCCCTAATCCCTTCAAAGGGTTTACCCTCCAGTGTGAGAACTTTGAAGGGTTGAAGGGTGTAGGGGACCAAACAACGGTTCATTGAAGTGCCCTTCTGCGTCACCATCATGTTCCCACACGGAGGCGCCGTCATCATGCAAAGAATCTGTGCAAAGGATCATGGGAGCCCGAAGTGTCCATCAGTTTTACCCTTCGAAATCCTTCATTCCGAAGGGCCCTTTGAAGTGGCCAGTTTTGAGCACTTCGGTTTGGAACGACCCTTCAATATGGCGGCCATGATTGCTTCCACTCCGAAGTGCCCTTTGGAGGGCGATATATCCCGTTTGGAACGCACCGCAAATTTCCTTGTAAAAGGGATTATATTTGACCAAAAAAGCAGTAAAATATTATACAAGTCTTTCATGACAAAAGAAAAGCTATTCCAAGTGGGAAATTTTATTGGAATTCCTACACATTTTGCATTTTAAATAAATAAATTGATTTAAAGATCTTGCATAAAATATATCCAACCAGTGTTTTAAGTTTTGTTTTTTTTAAGGGTTGGATCTCATGAAAGCCACTTAAAAGCCTATTTTAGTATCATTAATTTCACATCAATTCTCATGAACTTAATGTGAAAAAGTATATTATATAAATTGCTAAGTATTTCTGTATCACTGCATTACTTTTGATTCATAACCTGTAATTAAGTGCAATTTTATTATCATTTTTTTTAAATCACTGTATTACAGTAATGAGAATTTTAAAAATAAAAATGCAAAACAATTACGATGATATAAATGTGTTTAAATGCCATGAAAATAGCGTCGCAATGAAGAACATCTCACCAGTTGTAAAATAGGCTTTGTTTTCTTTACACTGGCATGTTTTCATGAGATTCACCCAAAGAGACTGCGCGTCCATCATTGCAGGGTGTGTGTTTGTGTGTATTTTTGAAGTCCTGATGTGCAATTTGTGAGAGTAAAGATCCTTTGTGAAAACAATAGTGTCTGAAATAGTTTCTAAAAGTTCGAAAATGGATGAAAACCCTGACTTCTCCCTTTTGGTCATTGTGATGTCATATGTAAACATGGAAAACAATAGTAGTGGCTCTAGAAATACTGCAGTTTAAAATGCACTTTTATTATAGCTGATCAATGTTTTGCAAGAGAATAGGGAGGAGAATTAAATTTGCATTGTAATTTTTGCACCTGTAACGTCACAAAATGGCATTGCAAAAATAATTAATTTTCAAATCTATCAAGTCTATTTCAAGTTTAAATTAATGCAAACATCTTTAGTGATATAGTTTTTGCACATGGATGCATTTTGGCGTCGTGAGTGTTGCCACAAAAACAAACAATTTCTATGTTGTAACAAGCTGTTGTTTCGCAATTACGGTATTTCTGACGAGATGTGAGCGCAGCATTAGAGGGAACGAAGTGTGTTGCTTCACAGAACAAAATTTCATAATAAAGCAATTGACATAAAGGTTAATCTATAACCACAAGAGCAACAGAGCACATGCAATAGAGTCTACAAAACTATTCCTACACAAACACAAGAACATTTCAGACCAGACAAACAGCCCACAGACTCCTGAAGAAAATAATCCCCAGTCACACCTGAGCTCAAGCTCATGATGAAGTGTACATGTGCCAGCCAGTGACTCCGGGGTATTAAAATCTCCCGTCAGCAGCAGAAGAACCTCCAGAGATGCTCAGAAAAACCAAAACAACTTAGTGGTGTGTGTGTGTGTGCCTTTCACATCTCGCCACAGCGAGTTCAACATTCAGAAATACACCTTCAGGCCCACAATTTGAGCATCTATCATAATAAGAGTGCAGTAAACTCAAGCTCAGCATGCTACAGGGTCATTCTGTGTCGACTCAACCAGAGGTCCCCGGCTAAAAATGTTGATTTTGATCTTTTTTTTTTCTGGTGAAAGAAATACATAAATGAAAAAGAAAGCCAAAATATTAAATATCATGGATGTATTTTTACAGAGTAATTCACTATTTTGTAGAAGTGGATCAAAATGACTATTTGAAAATGTGTATAATTTGACATTTTGTGCATTTTGTGCATTGAGATCTCCATATCTATAGGATTGAACCATATAGGGCCTTAAAAATGCATTAGATAGCAAAAGAAACAAGTCTGCTAAGAACCAGAATGTGAAATTATATTGAGATCCCTTTAATACTTCTTGAGTTACAAGCATGCAAACTTCGGAAAAATTATATTTTTGGCACTCGGATAGGTATGTTCCATGCAATCGTTTTGATAGAGGGAAACAAGAGCTTCAACATTTTCTGTTCTTCAGACATTCCTTTTTTAAAGAAACACACATTTGGTTTTTGACCACTGAAAATGTGCACAATTTAGCAATTCACTCCTGGAGCCACCAAAAGAAAAGTTTGTTATTTGAAAGGATATTCAGATATCTTTAATAATTCTTGAGCTACATGCATGCAAACTTTGGAGGGGGAAAAAATGCTTTTTTGGAAGAAAAGTGCTGTTTACCATGTTTTACCATTAGCATATAATGCCACAAAGATTGCTAACGTCAACAGATTTATAGACCTAACAATATTTGTGTAAAAATAACAAAATGATACTGCAATCTTTCTAAAGTCATTTTTACTGTCCTGTTATTTGGCTCTAAATCTCAGATGAAAATCATCATTTTGACCATCCTCTGTCTACAAAATAGTGTATTACACAGTAATTATTCTTCAATGGCATTTAATTTTTTAGTTTTTATCATATTTCTTTTTTTCTTTCTACAGAAAAAAATACTAATAGAGTCAAAAATTTTAGCAGGGGACATTTCTGAACTTCGGTTGATTTGACACAGAATGACCCAGCAGCGATCGCAACCCATTTTACTTTCATAATGTGACTTAAAGTCCCCATGAAATCAAAATTAAAGTTTTTTGGGTGTTAGTATCAATATGTTAGTCCTAAGGTTATCTATAAGGCAGTGTGCTCCGAAACAGTGACAAAATTCGCATTTAGAAGATATAAGCATTCAAAGCTTTCAGTTCGTCACTTCCGCCAAAACGGCTCAACGATTTTTTTGACGTCACATCGTACTTCAGCTTCTCATGAAACTTTCTGTCCAATCAAATGCTCTCTAGAATCCGAAGCCCCGCCCCCTACACTATAAAATAGACGCTGAAGCCGCGCTGACATCGGTCACTTGTCCACAGAATGAGTATTTTCTGTGCAGTGAATGGCACGTAGTGCACTATATAGGGCACAGGGAACGATTCAAACAGTGTAAATATGATTTCCATTGAGGAAAAAAAGAAGTCTGGTTTCGCGCTGTCACGCTAACCACCGCACCGCACACACACTCTGCTCCGGCCCAGATACACGATAGCACGGAGCGGATCAATAAACGAACGCTACTGGCTATTTTAAAAAGGGGCGGGGCTGCTTTATATGTCCCGCCCTGTCTTCCTGTTTCAGTTAAAATGACGTCAACACAGAGTAACGCAGCGTGTTTCTAAGCATTTCAGGGGACCTTTAAAGAAGTAAACACTGTCAGTTTTGATTTCATCCTGTCCTCCATGCAGCGTAGATGAGTGTATGACTGCATGGCTGAGTAAACACGCGTGAGACAGAGTCAGTGCATGGCCCTGAGGCTCCTGAACTCATGCGTCTGGACAGATCTCTGCTGCTGAGATCTTCTGCTTCACAGTGCATTGCTTCTGTTCAGCGTCTCTGAGAATTCAACTCTTTAAGGAATAAATGCAGCTTTTATGTGCTATTTTTATGCAGTGATGCTCTTTCTAATGGCGCCACATGACTACTAATTTGGTGCCACTTATTCCTGCTGGTCTGGTTACACATTTCATTTTTTACAAACAATAATTCACAACCATTTCCACTCCAAAACATATTCAGACCTAGATTTAAGATTTCTGTATTTGAATTGCATACAACTTTTTCATGCATTTGGATGGAATTTTAACATAAACAATATTAAACTTCATATTATGCATATTTTTAAGTCATACATCAGTGAAACAGGTCAGTCAGAGGCCTAATTTGGGCCTAAATATTTTTTTTAATAACAAAAAACAACATTTAGTTTTACTTGCATGCTTAAAGCTTGTTTATTATTATTATTATTTTTAATTAATGTGTACATAGTTTGGCAGGGTTTGTGCATTTGTTTTTATTTTATTTTCTTTATTACGTATTTTATTTTTGTTCATTCACATTTTTTAATTTATTAATTCGTTTATTTATTGCAGGTTTGCTTATTTTATTCATGTTTGTCAGTTTGTTTAATTATTAATTTATTTATTGGCATGTTTGTGATTTTGTTAATGTTTTTAATCATTTATTATATTTGAAATAATTTCCATTTAATTCTACTCCTTATTTTACTTTTTCTCATGCTGTCTTGCCTTGTTTTTCCTTCCGATAATCAAACCAAGCAAGCTACATGTCATTTAAGGTGAAAATGTATAGCTTTAAGTTTAACATGTTTCATTTTATGGCTTCAAAAGTGCATTTTTGCTCTCTCTGGAGCTTGACAGCCACTGCTGACCTTCCACTTTCACTGAATGGATACAGAGAGGCTTGGAGATTGTGCATCTCCTTTTGTTTTTCAGTGAAGATAGAAAGTCATACAGCCACGACAGTGAGTAATTAATGGCAGAATATTAATTTTTGGCTGAACTTTTCCTTTAACAGCAAGTAGATAAACAGATTTTGTCAGCTCATGCACATAAAGCGTCTGAATAACATTGCAAACCCGAGTTGAGGGTGTTGAAGCTGCAAACACACCCATCCGCTGCTCAACACAGACCGAAGCGCTTGACAAAGACAAACAGACGCACCGAACGCGCAAAAGCGCACTTCGCTTTCAGATGCATGGCATGCATGTGCTGCTTTGTGTCGGAGCGGAGCTCTTTCTCACCGAGCATGGAGAAGATGAAGTCCTTGGCCGTGTGGATCTCGAGCGCTCGCTGGTCGTCGTACTCACGCTGCTCGTGCTTGCTGAACTCGGCGATCAGCCGGTTGAGCTCCTCGATCCTGGTTCCGGACCTGAAGTCCAGCTCGGGGGAGTGCGGGACGAGCTTGGTGCTGTTCGGGGTGGCGGTGGGGCTGCTGCCAGCTGAACCAGCCCGGCTGGAGAGCGCAGGCGCCGCCATGTTCGCGAGGAGGAGACGGTGGAACCGGAGCAGCGGAGCGCAGGCGCTGTACTGTGATGCGCACCGGAGCGCAGCTGCAGACCGACGCTGATTTCTTTTCTTTATTAGACATGCACGTGCTGAAACACCGCCTCTGCAGATAAATGAGTACAAATATACTAACATTAAATATGAAAACCAAAACAATAAAAGAAAGTATAAATACAAATGAAAAACCTGCCACATAGACCTTTAATTAATACATAAAAAAATTATGAATAAAGAAAATAATACAAAATACATTTTTAAAAAGCGCAGAACCTGCTACAATAATAATAAATGAGTAAAATAAACAAACATGCAAGCATGCAAATAAATTAATTAACTCTGACAACAATAGAAATTAATACAATTTAATAAAAATATAATACAAAATGTGCACACTCTTGCAACATAATTAATGAAAATGTTTTAACAAATTAGCTAAATATATAAATAAATACATTTAATATTCGTAAAATAATCCAAATGACATTTTAAAGAACCGCAGAACCTGCTACAACAATAAATGAGTGAAATAAACAAATGTGCAAGCATGCAAATAAATAATAAAAGTAATAAAAATATAATATAATGCAAACTCTGCCACATAATTCATGAATAAAAAATGAACAAATTCGCAAAATATAGAAATAAATTAATTAATGAATAAACTAAAAATTCGTAAAATAATCCAAATTTAATTTTAAAAAAGCGCAGAACATGCTATAATAATAAATGAGTAAAATAAACAAATGTGCAGGCATGCAAATAAATTAATTAATTAACTCTGACAAAAATAGAAATTAATACAATTAATAAAAATACAATAAAAACAAATGTGCAAACTCTGCCACATAGCCTAATTAATGAATTGAAAAAATCGCAAACGTGCAAATAAATAAATAAATGGCAAAAAACGAATAGAATAATATAAATAAAATCAATCAATTAATAAATAAACAAAAATCGTAAATCAATAACAAAATGAAAACAACTGCCAACGCTGCCAAAATAATAAATGAATAAAAATAAATAAACGTGAAAGCATGCAAATAAATAATTAAGTGAATAAAAAAAAACTCTGCTACAAATGAGCAAACTAAGCAAATGCAAACAAGTTAATTAATTAACTGACACAAATAGTAAATGAATAAACTAATATAAAAACAAATGTGCCAAATATATTAAATCCATTAAAATCGCAAATCAGTAATTAATTGAATAAATGTAAAAAATCTGCCAAAAAATAAATAAATCTGCAAACCTGCAAATAAAATAAATGAATTAATAAACTAAAAAACAAGTCAAATATATTAAAATAAATAAAAATAATAAATAATTAAATTCAACTTTGCTGCAAATGAGTAAAATAAATGACTGAATAAAATAAACAAATGCGCAAACCTGCAAATTAATTAATTAATTAATTAATAAACTCTCACAAAAATAGTAAATGAATAAAAACAAAATGAAAATGTGCAAAGCCTGCCCAATTAACAGATTAACAAAAAATAAACAAGCATGCAAATAAATCAAAACGTGATTTTTGCAAATTTAGTAAAATTTGAAATCTTGATTGTAAATTTATATGAATTAGATTTAAAATGCACGTTTTCTTTTAGTTTAAAATAGGACTCAATCTTGTCAGTGCAGTGCGTGTTCTCCTCCAGCAGGCGCCGCTGTGGGCGTGCTCTGAGCCGGAAGCGGAAGCAGCTGCAGTATGAGCAGCAGTGGGGTCGCAGCAGTGATGATATCGGTGAGGGCTTCAGTGTTCAGAAGGGTTTCAGAGGACATCAGCAGCACACACTACCTGACCAACAGGTAACAAACACTCCTCTGACTGCGCGTTTATTTACTGAGCGCCTCATGTCACTCACAGCAGCTTCAGTGGCTTTCATCACCTCAGACATTAAAGCTTCAGCTTAAAGTGTTCTAATATTTGAACGCAATGAATGTCATTAGAAACATAACGATAATGATCAACTGTTTCGATTATAAACGCGTCTTTAGTTCTGTTTTAAGGCATTTGTAGATGTAAACATAATTTAAGGAGAGCTAGAAATAAGATTGGACCTTATGTATTGTAGTAAATAAAAACATATGAGTAATAACTGTGGTCCGATCTCCATAAAACTTTGCATGCTTGTTTAGAATCACCTGTCGCATGTGCTCACCTAGTTTCGTGAAGTTTTGAGACGAGCCTTGGTGACGTTGTAGACGGTGTGGGTACTACCATCCCTAGTTTCAAGTCTCTACGACTTATGGTTTGGTCTGCCCGATCAGTTTTAGGTGGAGATTACCGATCCTTGGCCATTCTAACAATTACAATTACAATTGGGTTTCAGTGCTATGCACTTGAACCCCAAAAAATTTTACCAAGGCCCTGCAGGCGATGTAAAAAAACAAAACATAAAAAACTGTTTCATCCCACATTATTATTATATTATAATGTAATATATTACATCTTATATTATACATTGAATGATCCAGTCAAATCAAGTCCCTCCCACATTATATTATATAAAATAAATGCATTACATATATTGTTTATAAGTTCTCTCAAGGTTGCTTTTATCAAACAAGTCTTTATAAATGAAGATAAAATTTTTGGGTAACTGTTTTTATTTTTTCCTCATTCCATCCATTGAAAAATCGATATAAATGCAATATTTTATCATTGTTTTGCTCCAAATAGATTCACTCTCCAGACGCAGCAGAGGTGTGGCTTCCGCAAAATAACAAAGAGGGTGGAGCCAAAGAAGGGTGTGGCAGAAGAGGCGGAGCTAAATGAAATCCTCCACAAGAAGGGCGAGGCTCCTGCTCCAGACCCGCCCACCCCACATGTACCCGCCAGGTCATTTGGCAGACTGGTCAAACCATTGGTCTTCACTATAGGGGTAGGTATATTTTACTGACACGTGGTGAGCACAATGTGCAGAAACTATTTCATTTTGTCATTATACTTTAACTATTCAGTTCAGTGGGACAATTCAAATATCTATATTACAAGAATAAGGTCCAATATGTGTGTGGATTATGATCTTTTAGAATATCGTAATAACTCCAGCTCAGTTTACAGGTTGTTCGTTCGGCGGAGCGGCGATATGGCAGTACGAAAGTCTAAAATCTAGAGTACAGAGTTACTTTGATGATGTCAAAGCGGACTGGCTGGAGAAGATACGGCCTCAGAAACAAGGCGATTTGCACAAACAGGTGTGTGTCCGTTTTATGCACGTTTGTGTTTTTCGATTGGTGTTTAATAGGCGTATGTTTTTCTGCAGGTGAGCAAGTGGTGGAACAGTTTAAGTGATGGACAGAAAACAGTCACAGGTCAGTCTGAATGACACGAACCAATCCAGCCCTTCATATTACACTGATGATCAGTATAGATTGTGGAGACAATGTATTTAATGCAATTTTATTAAAGTCGCCCTGTAGTCAAATATTTTATCCCTTAAAACTTATCTTCGATCATCAAAATGACATATTTAAATGTTTTCTCATGCCTTAAAATAGCTTGAATGTAACTCTACACCCTTGCCTCATTTACTATATGCTGATCTATGAATATGCAAATTAGCCCCGCCTCCACTCAGTCACACCAGCCAGCGCCTCCTGATCCACTGAACTGTAGTAAACGCAAAACAATGGCATACACGGATAATGACTGATAAAACTATGTTTTTACATCCCTTGACGTGATTGGTTATTGGATTGTGACGTAGCAAACCGTGGGATGTTTCAAACCGCATTTCTGGGACTGCCATTGGGAAACTACAGTTTTAAGGAGAAAAATACTCTGCAATGGTGTTGATTAATAGATTAGCGCATGGTTAAGCATATTAAAAACACCACATAGACAAATAAACAACATAAAAAAACTTGATTTTCACTACAGGGGGACTTTAAATAAACAGATGCTGTCCATCTATTTCTCTGTGCACTGTTCCCTCTGAACAAATCTCTCTCTCTCTCTCAGGCATCATTGCAGCGAACGCGTTGGTGTTTTTTTGTTGGAGAGTTCCTTCTCTGCAGCACACTATGTTCAAGTACTTCACATCTAACCCCTCCTCCAGTGAGTCAACTCATCTGTTTGGCTTTCATAATGTGCTGCATCTAAATAACAATTCTCTTTCAGGGTCAGTCTTGTTTACATCGCCTCAAAATTAGGAATTTTGTGTAGGATTGATTAGGATTATGGTCTGATTTACACTTTATTGTACAGTCCAGCATGTTTTCAGGTTTCTTTGGTATTGAAAATGTGCTCAAATGAATAATAAAGAGTAAAAAAAATGTTTAATGTAATAATTTGTATTATGTTTTAATTTATGGTACAGTACACATGCACAAGATTCCTGGTAGCATAATTGTGCCTGGTAGTATATCACTGCAAACCAGGGATATTATCGTTAAACCTAAAACAAATAAAAACATTTTTGCTAATGGAAACTGAAGCTGAAATCAAATATAAATATTAGACGTAAAAACTTTAAACTGAATTAAAATTAGAATTGTTTCCTTGGCAACTAGCTGAAATACATTTAAATTGGAGCATTAAAATTATAAACTGGAAATAACTAAAATCTTAAATTGTATAGAAATATTAAATAGAAATTAAATTAAATTGAAACAATTATTTTAAAAAACAACTAATAAAAATGACAAAAGCACATAACAAATTACTTACAATTAAAATCAAAATAAAAAGCTAACTCAAAATACAGTAATAGTATGTAATAGTATATAAATAGTACAAGGTTTTGATGGAAAGTCGAATTTTTGGAATCTAGGCCTAGATTCTGATCTGGTTCATGCAGTAATTTAATCCACAGTCTGATCTGATTTATGCAGTTATTTAATCTGGTCTATGCAGTAATTTAATCTGAATTGTGTTCTGGTTTTTGCAGTTATTTAATCCGCATTCTGATCTGGTTTATGCAGTTATTTAATCTGGTCTATGCAGTAATTTAATCTGAATTGTGTTCTGGTTTTTGCAGTTATTTAATCCGCATTCTGATCTGGTTTATGCAGTTATTTAATCTGGTCTATGCAGTAATTTAATCTGAATTGTGTTCTGGTTTTTGCAGTTATTTAATCCGCATTCTGATCTGGTTTATTCAGTTATTTAATCTGGTTTATGCAATAATTTAATCTATGCAGTAATTTAATCTGGATTGTGATCTGGTTTATGCAGTTATTTATTCTGCATTCTGATCTGGTTTATGCAGTTATTTAATCCGCATTCTGATCTGGATTATGCAGTTATTTAATCTGGTCTATGCAGTAATTTAATCTGGATTCTGTTCTGGTTTATGCAGTTATTTAATCCGCATTCTGATCTGGATTATGCAGTTATTTAATCTGGTCTATGCAGTAATTTAATCTGGATTGTGATCTGGTTTATGCAGTTATTTAATCCACGTTCTGATCTGGTTTATGCAGTTATTTAATCTGGTTTCTGATCTTGTTTGCACAGTAATTTAATCTGGATTGTGATCTGGTTTCAGAGGCTCTGTGTTGGCCCATGCTGCTGTCCACGTTCAGTCACTATTCTCTCTTTCACATGGCGGCCAACATGTACGTGCTCTGGAGTTTCTCTTCGAGCATCGTCAACATGATGGGCAAAGAGCAGTTCATGGCGCTCTACCTCTCCGCAGGTCTGTGTCATTTACGAGTTTTCAGATTTCGAAAACCATCCTACTCCCTATAAATTCATCAGTGTTATTGGATTTCGTCTTTCTGGCCCCATGTTCTCAGGTGTGATTTCTACGTTTGTCAGTTATGTGAGTAAAACAGCGATGGGTCGGTTTGGTCCATCACTGGGGGCGGTGAGTGTGTTTTCAGATTATACATTTCAGGTTTTCATCAGTGTTCATGTGAATGTCTTGAACAGATTGTTGTGTCAGTCAGGGGCCATCATGACTGTCCTCTGTGTGTGTGTGTGTGTGTGTGTGTGTGTGTAAGAGAGAGCTTTTGTTTAGTAATGATGGCCACATTCTCATGATCTTCTCCTGCCAACAGGCTCTTAAGGCCCTCGTCGCCTTGGATACCACAGGCTTGATTCTGGGATGGCGTTTTTTCGATCACGCAGCTCATTTAGGTGGAGCTTTATTCGGCATGTGAGTAACCCATCTCTGCTTTCACATACATTTAGATCTGTCTAGCTGAAAGGAGAAAGTGTAGTTATTACTAAAACTGTTAAATATGTTTTTTGTTAAATGAATTAAAGCTAAAATAAATAAAAAAACTGAAGTGAAAATTAGACAGGTTGCCTTGACAACTAACACAAAAAAGGTTAAGATTAAGTAGTAAAATCACTAAAACTAAACATAAATTAAAGTTAAATAGAAATATTATAAAATAAAAAATAATAAAAATGGCAAAAGCACATAACAAAATTACTCAAATTTAAACTAAAATTAAAATGAAAACAAAAATATAAAAATAAAACCTAATTCAAAATTCATTGATATTATATTATATATACATGGATATAGATATTATATTGACTATTATAGTTTGTGATAATATTTGATTAATTAGATATTATTTTTAGATTTTCTGTTTTCACTTTAATTTTAGTTAAAGTTTTAATAATCATGTTGAGTTTTTATCCTTTTTTTATGTCTATATAGTTTTAATAAATTTTTATTCATTCTTTTTAGTTTATTTTTTGTTGTTGTTTTTTAGTACTTAAAAACTTTAAAAAAATTTAAAAAAAGATGTTGCCTTGGCAAGTCACTGAAATAAAATGTTTAATTTTTTTGCATTTTATTTTATTTCGGGTAATGTTTATTTTATTTCAGTTAACTAAAATATGTTTTTACTGTATTAGTTTTAGTTAAATATAATAACTCAATCTGGGACCCTTGCCTCAAAATGGGCTATATTTGAGATGCATTTTAACAGCAAGTGTGAATGGTGATGTCTCATTTGGATTCTTAATGGATCTTAATACCAGCTGTAAACATGCAAACACAAGCATGTTCATTCTCTCTCTGTGCTCAGTGTGTCAATATGTCTCTCTCTCTCTTTCTTCCTCTAGCTGGTACATCATTTACGGTCACGAGCTCATTTGGAAGAACAGAGAGCCGCTGGTGAAGTTGTGGCATGACTTCAGAACGAGAGGACCGGGCGCTGGTGGCACCGGCTCGATATAGAGCCTTGCATCATGGGTAGACACTGAGCAGGTGACATGGAGAAAAACACAAGACTGAGAAATGGACACAGATATTCATGCACTTGAAGCTCATATTGTGTTGATTGTTCTGTGAGAGAGTCATAGAGTGAGGTCCGTTTCAGTCACAGTGAGTAACGGTAGTACTGCTGTGATGTCATTATGCTCCGCCTCCGATTTAAAATTTGAGTCCAAGTAGCTCCGCCCCCTCTTGGCTAGAAATGCAAATGTATCTAAAGGGGCGGAGCTTCGGCACACAGCTCTGAGGTCGCTATAGGTCTCGGTGACATTTGACACAATGTACAGAAACTTAAATGTTTAAAATAGTCTGTGACTGTCATTTTGAAAAATAAAATGATTTACAAAAATCTGTTGTTAGAAATGATCAGGTGTCAGCTTTTGTTTTATTTGCTATAATTGTTTGCTATAATTTGCTAAAAAGTTTCAGATGAGACTTTGGTCCTTGTTAAATGTGAATGATTAACCATGTTTCTCTATAACACACACACACACACTCACCTGTGCTATACGTCAGTATAGAAACCGTTTCAGTGTTGTTTTCTCAGATCGACCAAAGTTCAGTAACAGCCATGGCATCATAATGGCTCATGAACAATGAGTCTGTTTTTCACTTCCTCATGTTTTTATGAACTCAATGTATCGCTCGTCTCTTCCTGTTTCCCAGTTATCACTCGTTAACTTCCATCGCATCATTCTGTTCTTTCATTCTGAGTCACACACGTCACTCGTTTTGCTGTCTTCTGGTTTTTGTTTAATTAATCACACAGTTTGGGTTTCATGAAAAAATGTCCAGGTCATATTTCACCCCAAAAAAAATATATTTAGCTAAAATAAAGTGTTTTTGTTGACATATTTGCACATTTCTTATTTTTTTTCTGTTGTAAAAAGGGGCTGATTAAAAGTTCAAAAATTTGTGGTCAGTAAGATTTGTATTTTTTGTGAAAGAAATTAATACTTTTCAACAAGGATACATTAAATTGATGAAAAGTGACTGTAGTGACATTTGTTACAAAAATGTTCCAAATAAATGTTGTTCTTTAGAACTTTGCATGCAGCGAATAATCATAAAAATCTGGTTTCCACAAAAATATTGTGCAGCACAACTGTTTTCAACATTGATAATAATCAGAAATGTTTCTCGAGCAGCAAAGCAGCATATTAGAATGATTTCTGAAGATCATGTGACACTGAAGACTGGAGTAATGATGCTGAAAATTCAGCTGCGCATCACAGAAATAAATTACAGTTTAACAGAGATTCACATAGAAAACAGCTGTTT